TTGAGAAATCCATCTATGGATTAAAGCAAGCACCTCGCAGATGGAATCTTTGCTTTGATGAAAAGGTCAAGGAATTTGGCTTTTCTAGGAGTGAAGATGAATCTTGTGTGTATGTCAAGGCTAGTGGGAGTATAGTTAGCTTTTTGGTATTGTATGTGGATGACATACTACTCATAGGAAACGACATTCCAACCCTGCAGGAAGTAAAGTCCTGGCTTGGGAAGTGTTTCGCTATGAAGGACCTTGGTGAAGCTGCCTATATTTTAGGGATAAGGATCTTGAGAGATCGGAGTAAAAGACTAATTGGACTTAGTCAGAGTACCTACTTGGATAAGGTGCTGAAAAGATTCAGCATGCAGGACTCCAAGAAAGGAGAGTTACCCATCCAGAGTAACGCCAAATTGAGTAAGACACAAAGCCCTAGCACTGAGGCTGAGATAGCAGAAATGAGTCGAATACCTTATGCTTCGGCTGTAGGATCGATCATGTATGCTATGACGTGTACTCGACCTGATGTAGCCTTTGCCCTGAGCATGGTTAGCAGGTTTCAGGGGAACCCTGGCAAGGCACACTGGACTGCGGTAAAGAATATTCTCAAGTACCTACGAAGGACTAAGGACTGGGTCCTTACCCTCGGTGGGAGTGATGACTTGAGAGTTGTAGGGTATAGTGATGCTAGCTTCCAGACTGATAGGGATAATTTCCGCTCTCAGTCAGGCTGGGTCTTTACCCTAAATGGAGGAGCAATTTCTTGGAAGAGTTCCAAGCAAAGACAGTGGCAGATTCTACTTGTGAATCAGAGTATATTGCAGCGAGCGAGGCGGCAAAGGAGGCTATATGGCTAAAGAACTTCATCGGAGACCTTGGAGTTGTACCAGCTATTAAAGAGCCAATGGAAATTTTCTGTGATAGTGAAAGCGCTGTTGCCTTAGCCAAGGAACCAAGGGATCACGGGAGATCCAGACACATCGACAGAAAATACCATTTTATTAGACATCGAATAGAAGAAGGACTCCTCGTGGCAAAGAGGGTATCATCGGATGAGAACCCAGCAGATCCCCTCACGAAGGGACTGACTCGGGTTAAGCATCTCCAGCATGCTCGGAGCATAGGGCTGAAGGATGATATTAGATTTAGTAGTTAGATAACCTCGAAATTTGTAAAGTGTAATTGACATTAGATGATGAATAAAAGGTGTTTTATTTATGAGTAAAGTGTTGCTATCTCTTGTCAATCGTTTACTATATTTCTTTTGCATGTTTTGACTTCCAGAATAATTTTGTTTGGTATAACATATTATTCAAACCTCCACAGTCGGTCATATGTCGGAAGTAGGTATGAATCAAGACTGTCATGATTGGTTGCAGAGGTCTAAGGTGTTAGACAAGGCTACAACAATCATGAGTGTCATAAGTTCTGAGCATTGGACTCAACCCACGCTCACTGGAATCACTTCATGGAATTCTATCTCGAGTGATCGTGAGACGGTAATATCATATAAGTCTTCAAACCTAGAGATATGATTTGTTACTTACAAGTTGGTTATGCATTGATTGTACGAAAACGCATTGGTAACTCGATGTTATAAATCGTGCTCTTGTGTGTAATTCAATGAGTGGTAGAACAAACATATGAGTCGAAGTTTATCTGTTCCTTCTTGGATTAGAAGCTGATAGCCCCTCGATGATTTTGTTTTGACCCATGTACCGGGCCCGGTCAGAACTAAGTTGATGTGTTCAATTAAGTTCTTTGTCAAACAAATCGGAAATCGGGAAACAAACTGTTGGACAATAAGTAAGACATTGTTCCATGTATTTGTCCGACTGATATCTAGAACAGAGGATTATATGATCACTTATCTTAAATGGCGTACCATCATCTTCTCAGTTCCGAGAAACCTTGAAAAGAGCTACGATTGCTGATCGGTTCCTGAAGTCATACTTGCAGTAATAGTTATTAGACTTATCCAAGTGGGAGACTGTTGGATAAGGTGTCTAAGTCCATAACTATTTCTGGTATGTACTTGACCCGACCCGGCATGGTCCATTTGGGTTGCATGGCACCATGCAATTGGATAGACTAAATGAGAGAAATAACACTTGGAGATTATTAATATATTATAAGTTCTAATATATTAATAATATTATTTGATTAGTTTGATCAATAATTAATTTAGAATTAATTAAGTGATCAAAAGAGAACTAATTAAATATATGGGTTGATTATGTAAATCATCCATATCTTGTATAGTGGGCTAAGAGGCTCCATGGATTATCAAGTTGGGTTCTACCCATAGGATGCTCCATGGGAGTTACAAACCCATGGGTCATGGAAATGAAGAGTCATGACACATTAGGGTTTACATGGTGTAACCCTAGATGTCTCAACACTATATAAAGATCTCATTCTCCACCAAAATCGACTACACTAAGGAAACAAGAGGGCTTGGCCGATTTCAAGAAGTGTGCGTTCTCTCATAAGTCCTTCCAAGAGCATTTGGTGTTGTGTGAAGCATTTGAGGCATCACACTTGGGGTGCTAGGCTCATAAGGTTTCAAGGAACACAAGCAACAACAAGGTAAGTTATTCTATCTATCATTCAAGTTAAAATTGTTCCCCATGTATGCTAGATAGGAATATAGCCTTGGAATTCAACTTTGCATGATAATTAGACAAACATAGATCCAAGGTTATTAGGGTTGCATGTACACTTAGGAAGTGTTAGAATGCTCAAAACCCATCAATTATATCTTATAAAGATGTATAATGCACATAAAATCACATACTTCACATAATATTCAAAAAATTCCTCTTTATTACTTCAAAGTAGGTTACAATTGTTGACCCTAAGTATTACCTCATCATACTAATGCTTAGGCTAGAAACACATGCATTATAATTCTCTCCTCCTTAGGATGATTCTGTCTTGGAATCATGCATTAGCAAACAGATGTGGATAGCGACTTATCATTTCACTCTCTGTTTCCCAGGTGAGGTTCAACCTATTTGTATATTTCCATCGCACGAGCACTAAGTCGACCATATTGCGTTGCAACTTCTTTGTCTTACGGTCAACAATTTCCTCAGGCTCTTCGATTATCCTCTTATTTTCATCCATACGTAACTCTGTAAGTGGAATTATATCAGGAACTTCACCCGTGAACTTCCTAAAATAACACAAATGGAAGGTGTTATGAATACCATCTAGTTCTCCTGACAATTCTAGCTTGTAAGCTTGGTTCCCAATCCTCTGAAGAACTTTGAATGGTCCACCAAACCTTCGAATTAACTTTCCTTTCTTTCTGAATCTTATAAGTCCCTTCCACGGTGAGAATTTGAGCAAAACCGAATCTCCAACTTCGAAAGTCAATAGTCGTTGCTTTTTGTCGGCATAGCTCTTTTAGTGATCTTGAGCCGCTAACATCGTTTCTCTAATCACTTTGAGATTTTTAGCAGTCTGATCAACTATTTAGGGCCCATAAATAGATTTTCTCCAACCTCAAGCCAACAAGACGGCGCACAACATTTCTGTTCGTACAAGGCATGATAAGGTGCCATCTTGATGTTCGAATGGTAACTATTATTATAAGAAAACTCTACCACGGGTAAGTGTTCATCCAAGTTACCTTGGAATTCTAGGGTACATGCTCTTAACATATTTTCTAGTGTTTGAATCTTTCTTTCGCTATGACCATCAATCTGTGGATGGTAGGTTGTACTTCAACACAAATTCGTACCCATTTCCTCTTGTAGACTCCTCCAAAACCTTGATTTGAAACGACTATCACAAAATGATACAATCGATAAAGGAACACCATGAAGTCTTACTACTCGCTTCACGTAAGCATTTACAAGTTATCCATAGACCATCTCTCATTGGCTGCTATGAAGTGTGCACTCTTTGTGATCCACGACAACCTAAATCATGTCGTGACTGTTCTTTGTCCTGGGAAGTTTAGTCATAAAATCCATGGTGATGTCTTCCCATTTACCCATGGGTACAGGTAAAAGTTCTAAACTCCCATATGGTTTCTGATGTTGTGCTTTAACCGTCACACATGTTACACACTCGACCACATAATTTGCAACATCGAACTTCATCATCGGCCACCAATAATAGGGTTTTAGATCCTTATATATCTTAGTGCTGCCGGGATGAATTAAGTACATGGACTTGTGAGCTTCTTCCATCAGAGGATTTCTTATTTTACCCACCTTAAATAACCAAATCCTATCTTGGAATACCTTCAATCCTTGAATACTAGTACCGAACACCAATGTTTTTGTCACACCCCCAAACCAGAACATCAAAATCGTTCGGGGGTGGATGACTTAATGTAGTATCGTAACAGTTGAATACATAGTACAGAAAGTAAAATAACCATCATATATATAATTGAAAATGTTACATTGTTGAATGATATTTGTTCAAAAAAATTACAATATGATGACAAAATGAGCTTTAAGCTAACGCCTTAGCGTCACTTCTCCAAAAGCTGGGTTTTACTTGTATTATTGAATCCCTGAGAAATACATGTAGTTTTGAAAGAGTGTCAACAATTAAGTTGGTGAGTTCATAAAGAGTTTATGTATAAAAATTTGTAAGTTTGGTACAAAATCACCGAGTTTGTTTCTGAAAAATCCAATATTTTTGGACAAATTACACGAATGGTCCCTATGGTTTGGTGTTTGTTACGTGCCTAGTCCCTAACTCCATTTTTTAACCATGCCAATCCTTAATAGTTTGGTTTAGTGCACGCCTGGTCCCTCATCTAACCTTCCATTTGATTTTGGAGTTAAAACCCCCACGTGCCTTGCACGTTGAGGGGTATTTCCGTCATTTTACTTATTCTTCATACCGCCAGTTTAAGAAATCGGTGCGTTCAATTAAACGATCATACTCTACATTACACAATCGTATGCCCAAGAAAACACACAACTATGTGCAAAATCCTTACATGAAAACCCCAGTAGCGACGACTGCAAGAACAAAGAATTGCAATGGTTTCTTGGCGCATTCGTGGTGAAATGGCTGAAATCGACGTTGATCAAAGTTATGGTATGTTTGATTGACTTTCTTTTGAATGATATTGACTGTTAAAGGTTTACTTTTGTTAGCTAAAAATGATTCTCTCCTCTACAGCTGGACATCCGACAATGTTTTCAATAAGAATGCACCATGGAGGTGAGTTTACAAGCTTGCCTGGAAGGAAGTATATTCGTGGGAAGCAAACATTTGTTGATTTACTGGACATTGATACCTTTTCCGTTCATGACATTGATGAGATGATGGAAGACCTAGGGTATGCTTCAATAGGTAAACCACTTTACTATGACTTTCAAAGGCCTTTAGGCGATTTAGATTTTGGGTTATTCGCTTTAGCTAGTGATGAAGATGTTTGTTATTTGGGGAGTTTTGTGGCTAAGCATAAGTTAATTGAGGTATATATAGAGCATGACAAAACTACTCTGCACACCTATTTAATGTCCCCAACCCACAGTAAAGTTCGTATAACGGAGATTACTGAACCTCCATCTTGTTCAAAGAGACTGTTCCTGGAGTGGCATAGCACACCTGCTGTTGACTTGGAGGATGAAATGGATCACATGGAGAAAGAATCGGGTAATGATCCTACACCCACTGGTCATCTGGAGAAGGATTTGGGTAATGCTACTCTCACTGATCATATGGAGAATGATTTGGGTAATGATGCTACTCTCACTGATCATATGGAGAATGACTTGGTTAATGATGCTAATGACTTTGGTAAGTTTGGTGAGTTAGAGAGTGACAATGATGAAAGTGATGATAGTGATTTTTTTGTGGACATTGAAAATATATTGGATGATATTAATGTGGATATGCAAGATTTTGAAATGAATATCGACAAAGATGTGGAGTGGGTTGGAGGGTCGTCTAACACTGTGGTTGATGAAGGCACACAAGATGAAGCTTTAGAGGTGATTAACACTGACTTTTTAGCATCTGATTCATCATCAAATGAGGGGATTAATGGTCAAAGAAAGAAATCAGTAAGAGCAATTCAAAGGGAACATGAGAATGATGAAGCACTTGTTAGTGAATCCTTCTATATTTTTCAAAAATTTGGTTCAGCAAAGGAGTTTAAGGATAAGGTAAAACTCCATGCCATAGAGACTAGAAGGGAGCTGGCCCTTGAAAAAATGACAAGAATAGAGTGAAATGGGTTTGTAAGGGAACAATACCAAAGCTTGGGCCTAATGTAGAAGTCAACGATGAAGAAGAAATATGTCCTTGGGTCTTATTAGCTAGTAAGTGGAAAAAAGATGTCAATTGGACAGTTAAACCGTACAACAAAGTCCATAAATGTCTTCAAACTAGAACAGTAAAAGCATGTACGTATAAATTCTTCTCTTCTAAAATTGTTGAACAGGTTGAAAGTAACCCTACTATTCCAATTAGGGCTTTGCAAGAACAGCTACAACGAAGGTTTAAGGTAGATCTTTCTAGGATGAAAACATTTAGGGCAAAATCTGAGGCTCTAAACCTTGTGCAAGGAGATTTCGTTACTCAATATGGTTTACTCAGAGATTACATTGTTGAGTTGCAAACTCGTAACCCAGATACGACTGTTAGGGTTGATGTTGAAAGCGAAGGAAATCCACACAGTGAAACGAGGACATTCAGACGCATTTACATATGCTTGGGAGCTTTAAAGAAAGGCTTCGCAGCTGGAAAGAGGGATTTTCTTGGCTTTGATGGTGCTTTCATGAAGGGTCCATTTCCAGGACAAATTCTTTCAGCCGTGGTAAGTTTTAGTTATGGTTCTTTTACTTATTGTTATACATAAAAATAAGTAAAAATCTATTCATGATTGTTATTTATCATAAAATGCAGGGACTAGATGGTAATAATGGCACATATCCATTGGCATATGCGGTGGTTGAAACAGAGAACATCAGTTCATGGACTTGGTTTTTGAGTTGTCTTGGGGAGGATCTTGGCTTGAATACTAATTCTAATTTCACTTTTATAACAGACAGACAAAAGGTACTAAAATCATAGATTTTTTTTACTTTATTTCTAAATTGTTTACTAACAAAATCTATGTATGATTGTTAGGGTATTCTAAATGCAATTGCAACTTGTTTCCTTGTGCTGAAAATCGTTACTGTGTTCGTCACATTCGGGATAACATGAGGAAGCAATGGAGGGGTAAACCTTTCGAAGACCTCTTATGGACATGTGCAACTGCAACACATGTACAACAGTTTAACAAAGGCATGGAAGAGCTAAAGAAATTAAACAAGGATTGTTATGAGTGGCTTAAGAAGATACCACCTCAGCACTGGTCTAGGTCCCATTTCACTGGTATAACATTTAACTCTAATAACATTCTTTATGTTTTCCTGGTTTGTGTAGTTTTTTTGAATTGACTTTAAGTGATGTGATTGGACAGGGAGAGCACATTCTGATGTGATTCTTAATAACTTGTGTGAAACATTCAATGGAAAACTGAATGAGGGTCGTGATAAACCAATTATTACTTGCCTAGAGTTCATTAGGGAATATCTAATGAAGAAGATTGTGAATGTAGAAAAGGCCATTGGGAAATGTACTAGTCCTTTGACACCTACAACTATGCAGACTTTGGAAAATATAAAAAAGGCAGAAGATTATAGATCTGTATTTTGTGGAAATGGTAAGTATCAGGTAAGTGGCCCTTGGATGGACCAATGCGCGGTGGATGTGGTTCAACAAACATGCTCCTGCAGGAAATGGGAACTCACTGGGATGCCATGCAAACATGGTGTTGCTACTATATGGGAGATGAGGAAGAATAGTAAGGATGTTGGAATACCAGAAACTTGGGTGCATGAGGTATATTGGCTAAAAACTTGGAAACAGATGTACTCATTCAAAATTGAGCCCATTAATGGGAGAAGCATGTGGGAAAAGTCTGTGTGTCCAACAACTTTGGTTCCTCCTAAACATCGTGTCACAATAGGTAGACCAAAGAAGAAACGCAGAAAATCAGCTTATGAAATTGATGACATGGTGAAGGGTAATAGTGCATCAAGAATCCTTCAGTCGGTTACTTGTTCAAAGTGCAACAACATTGGTCATAATGCAAGGAGTTGTAAGGGACAAAAAGCTAGTGCTCCTAGTGGTTCTGGTGGTCCTGGTGGTTCTGGTAAGGGAAAAGGAAAAGCTGGTTGAGGGAAATTGATGACATGGTCTTGATCTATTAGTGAAAGTTTATTTTGTTGGTTAATCAGTTCTTTTGGTTAAATTGTGTCTTTTTGGTAAAACTGTGTCCTTATGGTTAATACTTTTGGGTAAATTATGTTTCTTTTGGTTAAACATTTTGTTGATGTATGAAACTATTAACCATTTTGTTGATGTATGAAACTATGTTATGGAAAGTATGGAAACTAAATTACCCTTTATTAAATCCCACTTGTGCTATTGGTTGTTTATGTCGATTGTTAGCATATGTTATTGGTTGTTTTTGTCAATTGTTAGTGTTTACTTTTCCAAATAAGTTCCAGAAACACTTGATGAAAATACATGGCTCATAGAAGTCAAAATAAGCTCCAAAAACACTTAATCAAACACTTAACCAAAATATTATCAAATTCACAAACACTTAATCAAAATACATTCCAGAAACACTTCAAAACACTTCAAATTCACATACAACAACCAACTAGATGGATCATAGAAGTCAAAATAAGTTCAAAAAAGACAAACATCATACATAGCATACTAGTTGGATCTTCTTAAGCACTACAACTTGTAAATAATGATTCCTATGAACACCCAACTTAAAATAATGATTATCTTCAGCAGCGATTCTCAGCTTCAACTTTGTTCTTAGCCTTCAACAGCCCTGGAATTATCCTAGTACATCGTCCACAATCCTTCCTCATCAACCCATCAATAAACTTACATTTAGGTCCCTGTCAACTTCAAATCCAACAGATTTGGGGTCATTGTCACACAAAAGCTTGAGTTAGAATCAAAACGACCTTACCTTCTTTGTGCAGCCATGAAACTTTCTTCCGGGGTTGTCGTCGGTCCATGATGTCAGTATAACACTTGGTTGCCCGCAATTACATTTTATCATTGTTGATTTTTTGTCCATTAAAGAAACGAGAGATGAAATGAGAGAACAAACGTAGAGGAAGAAAAGGGGGATGCACTGATCTAGGGTTTTTAAAGGATGAATAAGTAAAATGACGAAAATACCCCTCAACGTGCAAGGCACGTGGGGGTTTTAACTCCAAAATCAAACGGAAGGTTAGATGAGGGACCAGGCGTGCACTAAACCAAACTATTAAGGATTGGCATGGTTAAAAAATGGAGTTAGGGACTAGGCGCATAACAAACACCAAACCATAGGGACCATTCGTGTAATTTGTCCAATATTTTTCCATGAGTGTGTGGTAGTTTAAAAGTTCCAAACTATAATGCGTTAGTAGTTTTCATGCCTAGAATAACAGATTTATGTATGTATAAAGTCACTAAGACATTTGATAACCCCGTAAATCATCATGTTTTTAATACTCCTTGTGAGTTTTATAACCATGCTATTGACCTAGTCTGCATGTAACAACATTCTTAAGGCGTTTGAATGTTATGACGTTTATCACCCCAGACGTGTTGGTCTAACTATAGCTAACAGTTTAGGTGCAGGATTGTCAATCCCGTATAGATCTATACACAAGTATCACGCTCTCCCTACAAGAGATCATGGTATATAATACAAGACTTTAACAGCATACTTGAAAGTACGTGAAGTTGAATATCTCACAAAACTTAGTATCAAATAGATTTACGTATGAAAAGTCCATTTGTTCTTGTATATGAAAGTATTTCCTTGATATAGTACTTATAGTATGTAAAATCTCATGAATATCTAGTAAACTATACCTATTATAGTTTTTCCAAAGGTGTGTTTCGTTTGTATGGTAAACCCTAGAGTAGTGTCGACTTTGTATGTAAAGTATATCATTATTGAACAGTTATACTCAAAATATAAATAAAGTGTTGATATTTATACAACAACATGTTTCATTTCAAAATGGACAAAGTGTTATCGTGATATGTTGCATGAGAATGTTTTCGTATGATAGTTATAAATCACATATGATTGATTATAACAAAAAGTATAGTAAAAGATTTACGTGATTCACACGAGGATAATCGTGTGTTTACTTGTATTTCGCCCTCCTTAAAAGTGTATAAAAGCATTTACAAAGCATTTGAAAACGTAGTTATAGGGGTATGAACTCACTTGATAGATTGAAGAAAGTGAGACGAAAACCGAGCTGAACTTTAACAGGAGAAGGCGGATTTCTTGGGATTCTCGGGAATCTCAGGAGTGTAAAACTTCTTTCAGGACTTGGGTATGAAAACCAGGGCTTCGGGATATTTCTTGCACGCAAAACGGAGTAAAAACGTGAGAGAATGAGAGAAAATGAGCAATTATGCCCGGAATTGTCGCATTCCTTTTATAGGGGGCAGAACCGCCTCAGTACGCTGGGTGTAGTTGACGTCATTGCTTACACACTTCGAATGAGAGGGCTTCTATCCAATGGGAGAGCCTGTTGGCCGATGGGACGAGGCTCCTATCCTCTGGTACGCGGGGCGTAACACATTACGCGGGGCATAATCTGATTTTTCCAACTTCAAAATTACGTAACTTTTGCTTAAGAGCTCCGTTTTTCACGTTCTTTAAATCCACGCGTAGGTGAGAATGTACTCTATGAATTTTATTTAGACTCCATCGGCTAATTTTGACTTTATTTTAATTATATTATTTTTAACAGGTCAGGACACGAAAAGTCCGTTAAAAATCCGTAACTTCTTCATCCGATGTCCGTTTTTTTGACAGAATTTTTACCGTTGCACTACTATTATTGAGATCTTCAATTCTCATTTAGGTTGCTTCGGCTAGAAATCGCTCGATCTCTATTTTTGAGTGTTTAGCTGTCTACCGCTATACCGAAACTTCGAAAAATCATAACTTCCTCATACGAAGTCGGATTTATACGTTCTTTTTATGCACGCTGACGGTTTAGTATAATCTACGACTTTCATTTAGATACCTAAGGCTAAAAACTATTTTATTGAAATTTATCATTTTACGTTTAAACGTATTGACGGTTTTTGTTGTGTATCTTAGGTTGGTCATAATTTCTTTGTTTATAACTCGGTTTTCAGTGTACTTTATATTTCTGAAGACCCTTGACACGATATCTATCATTTTTGAAATCCAATAGATGACTTTCGAACATTTTATTTTTGACAATAATTTTATTATCTCAAAAGAGGTTACAATTCCTAACTTTTTAGGCCATTACATTGATTCAAAATATCGGGTTGTCATAGTTTTGCCTAAACGTTCTTCCTTTCGGTCTTTTTCTCAAAAGCTTCATCTTGAGCTTTCTTGATGCCTTCTACAATCTTTGAGACAACCTCTCTTTTTCTTTCAAGGTTTACTTTTCGACTTAGAGCTTTAGCTACAACATTTTCTTTACCAGGGTGGTAAAGTATCTCACAGTCGTAATCTTTGAGTAACTCTAGCCAACGTGGTTGTCTCATATTCAATTCCTTCTAATTAAAGAGATATTGGAGACTGTTATGATCAGTGAAAAGTTTACACTTTGTGCCATAGAGATAATGCCTTCATATTTTTAATGAGAATACTACCACTGCCAACTCCAGGTCATGAGTGGGGCAGTTTTTCTCGTGCTCTTTCATTTTTCGAGATGCATATGCTATCACCGTATCTCTTTGGGTTAGAACACAACCTAACGTAACTCCAGATGCATCGCAACAGACTGCGAAGTCTTCAACTTTGTCAGGTAAATAAAGAATTTCCGCTTCACACAACTTCTTCTTTAGTTTCTCAAATGATTCTTCATGCTTTTCACTCCATGCATATGTAGCTCCTTTATGGGTCAAAACTGTCAATGGAGCAACTATCGAATAAAAGCCTTGGATAAACCTTTGGTAATATCCAGCTAATCCCACAAAGCTACAAGTCTAGGTGGGACTTTTTAGTCATTCCCATTTCATCACAACTTTAATCTTTGTTGGGTCAACCATTATTTCCTTTTAGTTAACCACATGACCCAAGAATTGGATTTCACGAATCTAAAAATCACATTTGGAGAACTTTGCGTATAAATTCTCCTTCTTTAAAGCTTATAATACTTCCCACAGATGATTTCCATGCTCCAGCTAGCTCTTTGAGTAAATCAGAATGTCATATATGAAGACTATCACAAATTTATCGAGAAATTGTTTACAAACCCTGTTCATCAAATCCATGAATGCTACTGAAGCATTGGTTAGTGCAAATGACATAACCAAGAACTCATAGTGTCCATATCTCGTTCTTAATGTGGTCTTCTTAATATCTTGCTCTCTCATTTTCAGCTGATGATATCCCGACCGAAGATCAATCTTTGAGAAGTCGCTCGAACCTTGCAGCTGATCAAACATGTCATCAACCATTGGCAGTGGTTACTTATTCTTCACCGTTGCCTTGTTCAGCTCTCTAAAGTCTAAGCACATCCTCATGCTTCCATGCTTGTTCTTCAGGAATAACACCGGTGCTCCCCAGGGTGATGAACTATGTCTAATGAAATTGTCGTCCAATAACTCTTGAAGTTGCTTCATAAGCTCCTTCTTCTCCGTAAGTGATAATCGGTATGGTGCTTTTGCTATTGGTGTCGATCTTGGTAACAAGTCTATTCAAAACTCCACTTTTCTATGAGGGGCAACCCAGTAAGATCTTCAGGAAAGACATCTGGATAGTTACACACCACTATCATTCTTTTTATTTCATTATTCTCCTTCTTTGCATCGATCACAAATGCTAAATATGATGTGCATCCTTTAGATAAAGATTTTCTAGCTTTCATCAGGGACATGATTCGAGAATTCACTATACATTTTCCCATGTACACCATAAATGAGTTTTTACAGGTGGGTTTACTCTCATTATCTTTTTCTTTCATAGTATTTTGGCATCGGTGGCGCTAAGCCAATCCATTCCAAGTACGATGATGAAACCATTCAACTCAATGGGTAACAACTCCTCTTGGAATTTGTTTACGTTCAAGTCGATGACGATGTTTTCAATGCACTCGCTAACAGGTACAAATTTGCCACTGGAAACTACTACAACTAGAGCATTATTAAGT